ATTAAAAAATAAGGAGTTTTATGTTTCTGCATCACAGGTGACAGAAAACATATTGTTTAATTAAGCCAGAGGGATTCCAGACACAGTAGGGCAAGGAGAGATGCTAAGCTAAAGGTGGGGGTTAGGTGAAAGTTGTCATACTGAACAGTAAGATGTCAAGCTTTCTTCCCCTGCTTGGTTCCAGAATTGCCAGCTTCCATGCTTAAATATCCCAGGCAGGATTGAGGAATCCTTCCTGGGGTAATTAAATCGGTCCAGAAAATTGACCCAACAGGCTCTGATATTTGAAGACCTCAAGAAAAGTACCAGCTGGCCATTACCAGTTGACAAGCCCAGCCTGAACACAGAGCTTATAATTGGCTCTTTTTTGTTAACCTGTTCAACATGAACGAACAGCCAGGGATGGATTGTTCGTCATCTTAGGAAAGCTTCCAGTGTAAAAAAGAGACATACAACAGAAAAAAAGGAAGCTCAAAGGAAGCAGGCAATGCAGGAACAAAGCCACTTTGAGGAAATGATAATTTGCAACCTCAGACAGGTGTTTAATTAAAAGGAGAAACATGGTGCTGTGCAAAGAAAGGGAAGGCAGGTGAGAAAGTTCCTGGAAGGAAAAGGACAAAAGAAGAAATTTCACATTCGGTGAAGCTTTTGGAAGAAATAGTTGAGGAACTCCACCAGTAAGAGAGAAAAAAGGGGAGAATTAGGAGTTCCAGAAAGAGATGAGAGAAGTGGAAAATTAGTATGTTAAGTAAACAAACACATAAATTTCTCAGACCCGAACTAAAGACCAGCTTGTAGGTGCTCCGTGCAAGCAGTGATAAGTTCACATCCTTATAAAAAAGTATGTTCTGAAATTTTAGAACCTGCTAGAAATCAAAGATCAGTACTAAAATCTTCCAGATAGGAAAAACATCAAAAATAGTCTGTGAATAAGAATGTCCTCAAATTCCAAGCCACACATTTAAAAGTCTAAAAGACATCGGTGGAAAGCCTTTAAAATGCTGAAAGAAATACATTGGGTTGAGACTTTGTTAAGGAATTTGTCAAGCATACACTAGAGAGAGTAGTACAGTGGTAAACCCTAAATCCATCTCCCACATTCAGAAGTTACCAATATCTGTCTCTCCCAATGCTTGTATGCTTTTGGTATTTTGAAGCAAATTTCAGATACCGTATCATTTCAGCCCTAAATAGATTAATCAGTAACAAGTAGACATTTTAAAGAAATAAAGCTACAATCTTATTATATCTAACAAAATTAATAATTTATTAATAACGTCAAAACTTTGTGTTTTCTTTATTTTAACACAAGGCTGTCTTTTTAGGAATTGGTTTCTTCAGACCAGAATCTCTTGCATTTGGTAGATATGTCTTAAGTTTGTGCTTTTTACGTAATGGTTTTATGTGGATTTATTCATTTTATTAATTCCCTGGATTTGTTGTTTTGATGGGGATGACAAAATTGTGATTTTTAAAAAATTCTACCAATCCTTCTGCATTCCTTAACTGTCATTATGTAAAAAAGAACTTTCTTTCATTATCTGTTTGATGTTTACCCTGAAATGTAGTCCATTTAGGAAAAACAGAAGAGATGCCACTTTACCTTTTCTTACAGTAATGAGTTGTGTTCTCAGAACTTCCAGAGGTCACCAGCTAATGAGTGTTTTTAGTATTGCTGTAGCTGCAGGAGTTTTTACATTTTTGAGTTCTTATCAATTTCAGTCATTCTTTCAAATCAGATTGTCACATCTTTATCTTGTGGGGGAGCCCATAAAAATGGTGGTATTTAAATGACATCCTTGCTGTCAGACCCAAGGCTCATCTTAACATATCTTGACCCTGTCTCGGAGTAAGTCAGCCCTCCAAAGAGCTTTGGTTTCTTTCCGTGCAAAATGGCATTTTGAAGACCAGGACGTGATGCTAATTGTTATTTGGTTGTATTTACTTTTAGGGCTTTTTAGCATAAAGAGATAGAAAGTAAATTTTACAAAGAGAAAATTTTATTGTGAGTTAATATTGAAACCTTTAATGCAAATTAAAGATTAAGCTAAGAGTCAAAGGTTTTAAAAGCTTTGAAATTTTTAAAAATTTTAAAAGTTAACGTTTTAGTTCTCTAGTTTTATATTTGTATATTTTATTGATAACCTTGGTTCCTAATAATGTAAACATAATTTCTTATTTGCTTTATCCTGTTGTATACATAGGAATTCCAAAAATAATATCACTATTATTGTAACAATATTACTACTAAATACAGTTTGATTCTTTGAGGATTTGGATCCTTAGGAGATTTCCCACCAAGAGTGCACACAATACTATTTGAAATCTTATTTATGCTGTTTGCTCAGTACAGAATAAAGTTTGCTTATTTGTGCTGCTAGCTTGATATGCAATTAGGTTTCTTTTCTGTTTTTAGAGATTGGGGGTTTTTTTGTTGATTTTAATTTTAATTTGGTTTATTACATGAAATATTTTCATGTCCCAAAGTTTAAAAAAATGTAGCATTCTTTACCCTGTATTCTGTCTTCCATTGGAGATAACCATTTTCATTCTAGTTTTGGCCATCCTTTTCATTTTTAAAAATATGAGCACATGCACTTAAACATTTGTATTTCCTGTGCTGTAGTCCAGATATAGTAGATTAAATAGTGTTGTGCACTTTAAGTTTTCTCACTCCACAAGAGATCCTGGAGATCATTCCAAGAAGTTGAAAGTGTTCTTCCACATTTCCTTTTTTTGGGGGGGGGCTGCATAATATTTTATTTCTTGTAATGCATATTTTGATTATAATAATCTTCTGATGTAGTAAATTGCATTGCATGAGCATTGTTTTGTGTTGGGATGTGCAGCCTAAAATTTTATACCGAAATACTCAGGTGTCAAAATAAAGACATTTTAGACTTGAAAGTTATAAATGTATACCACATACACCCTTCCAGGAAGCCATAATACATGACCCAAGTAAGAGGAATGCAAAAAATAAAATAAGGGCTCATAGGAGAGAAGCAAAGAAATGACAAAGGAGAATATTGAGATGATAGCTGTGCATTACACTTAGGAGGACAGTGGGCACCAAGGAGGGATGCCTGGGGGGAAAAAGGAAATAATAGGTTATGTGACAGGTTTGACTATGTAGAATGTTATATATTGTTTTTGTCAGAACTGTTAAGGAGTCTGAGAAGACTTCGGTGTAAGTTTAAAGAAAACCAAGTAAATGAAAGCGTGCAGTAAAAGTTCAGGAAAATTAACAAGCTATGTAAGAAAAGAAATATAATCACTGAATACATTTATGTATGTATGTATGTATGTATGTATGTATGGAGAGAGAGATAGATTACAAATGGAGCAGAGTGGGAGAGAGAATCTCAAGCAGGCTCCACACCTAGCATGGGGTTGGACATGGGGCTTGATCTCCTGACCCTGAGATCCTGACCTGAACTGAAACCAAGAGTCACACTCTTAACTGAGCCACCCAGGTGCCCCTAATCACTCAATACTTCTTGAAGTAAAAATTATTTAACCATCATAGTGAAAAAATTTTTGTATAATTATGTTAGGAGGATGGAGGGGGAAGGAGAATGAGAATGAGAAGTTAGTAGATAATACCTAAATAATGATGCCAGAACAGTGTGAAGGTACTATGGAAGAACATCAGGGTAAATAGAAGAAGGTAATGGTAAAAGTACTGAAGCTGGTTGTGTCCTAATAGAAGAATACTTCTGTTTTTTTCCTTTGTCATGAGCTTTCTAGCACTATTTGTTTAAATTATGTATATGCATTACTTTGAGAAATAACTTGAAAACTAGACGTGTAAGAAGAATGTCTCAGGAAATTCATTATAGTGTGTGTGTGTGTGTGTGTGTGTGTGTGTGTGTGTGTGTGTGTGAGATTAGCAGTCCAGATAGGAGTTCTGTAAGCTAATGACTCCCAGGGTCCTCCTTGGCGGCTCTCACAGCAAGCACGTTAATTGAACAGGAACCTGTGCGGTTTAACTTTAACCAGTTTAGCCATTCAGGCGTACAGAGGGACTCAAATATTCCAGGTCATGGGTGTAGCAGAAAAGATAAAGTGCCTCAAACTTATACATGGAAAATAATCTAAAACCAGAAAGTAAGCAGACAAGTATCAAAACAAAAAAAAAAAAAAAAAAAGGCTGTCGAACATGTTAGACTGTTGACACTTAATTTTAATAGTATAGGTGACTGGGAGGGAGAAATGTCAGAGTCATTGTTGCAAAGAGTAAGTAATTGGTGATAATAAGGGAAGAGACAGCCGTTGAACCCCAGCACAGATGTTGAGAAAGAATGGTCCCACATCACGTGGAGATAGATTCCAAAACTATTGAATAGTCCTTCGGAGGGGTTGGGTGTGGCAGCTCAGCAATGTTGCCATTGATGTAATAACCACTCTTGGTTAGCCATTTGATATGAGGGAGCTACCAGATTTAGCCATTTTGCTGTTTATTACCAAGGTTTATATGAAATATTTCCTGTTGCATGCCGGAATTGACCTTAATTCTGATATATTCCCAAAGGATAGGGGAATCAAGGATGAGGGGTGGTGTAAGGTAAGAGGAGGTGAGGATTTGGATCACTTAAGACATGCCCTGGGTAGGAAGGTTATATACCTCCCATAGTTGCCCACCTCAGAAAGAGCCATCAGTCACTTAAAAATGTCTCTTGGGGGGGAAAAAAATGTCTCTTGGTTATCTAAGAATTTGCTTTTATTGTGTGTGTGTGTTTCCTAAGATTCTTTGCTCTTCTCCCTCTACTCCTACTTCCCCAACACAAATTACCTTGGTTAGACTCATTTGTCTAATTGATATCTCTGCTATAATGGAATTTAAGTCTGTTTTTCATTTGAGAAGCTAAAGGATTAATAATGCCTGATTTGTAAGTTTGTTTATGTTTACTCTATCTGATTGGGTATATAGGAGTCACAAAGTGGAGAATTCAATATCTTTCTATTTAATACGGTATATTTGCTATTTATTTTTTTAGAGGAAGTCCACAGATGAAGGGGACGCCCCATTTTAAGGAAGAACAGTGTGCTCCAGCATTAAATTTAGAAATGAGGAAAATACTGGATTTGCAAGCACCCATCATGAGGTATAGTACTTTGTTAAATTTAGCATTTTGTGTTGACAATATATAATAAAGTTGGTTAATCACATGACCAATAGGAAAGTTGATTTTTTTTTTCCCACTGAGGATAATTTTTTTTAGCTCTAAATTCTTGATTAAACCTTAGATGATACATTATTATACTTCAGTTATTTCATAAAGCCTATAAGTTGAGTATACCAACCATAATTTTATTAAGAAATTTATAGTTTTTGGTAAAATCTGAAATTGTTTGAATGACACAACATAGTGCATATTACTTGAAATGATACTGATAAAAATCACATAAGTTGAGGAAAAGAAAAAGTGCCTTTGTTTCCAAAACCTTCAAAGATTTTGGGAAATATGTGGATACTTGGATCAAAGTTAAGCTTTCTTTTTTTCTTTTAAGATTTTATTTATTTGACAGAGAGAGAGAGCACAAGTAGGCAGAGAGGCAGGCAGAGAGAGGAGGGGAAGCAGGCTCCCTGCTGAGCAGAGAGCCCGATGCGGGGTTCGATCCCAGGACTCTGGGATCATGACCTGAGCCAAAGGCAGAGGCTTTAACCCACTGGGCCACCCAGGTGCCCTGAAAGTTAAGCTTTCTGATCTCCGTATGAATAAAGGTTTTGTGATAAGAAGCCCAGAAATACCAAATACAAAAAATTATTTTATATTCATTGGTAGAAAAAATAAATGTGTGTGTAATTTGGCTTTATTTCCTTAATTGCTTTGCATTTGACATTTTAGTTGTCTATGATGTGTAGATCTTATTACAAGTATATTTTTTAACTTAAAGTTTTTTACTACAGTATCTTTTCTTTTTTTAACAATTCTTTTTAACCGAATCCAGAGTTAGCATTGAACCTCCAAGAACCATTCACTGTTTTTGTTTCCAGTCATATATAATCATGAAATTATAATGGTGATATTCCAGCCTTCTGTGCATCAAAATGGCCAGTATTTATCTTTATTGATAACACTTGCTTTTAAAAAAATGATAAATACTAGCCAAAAGAGGTATTCTAATTCAAAATTCATTTTGCTAGGAGTCATTAAAATCTTCTTCCCAAATGTCTACAGATAACTTCTTATGAAAGGGAACATTGATAAATTAGATTACATAAAAGTTAAAAAAAAAGAAACTGGGGGGGAGAAAAAAACACCGTAAGTGTGTTTCAGAAGTATCAAAAAAAACAGCATAAACTGTGAAAACAAGGAAATAACTTCCAGTGAATATATCAAAAGGCCAGTTTTCACAACACATAAAGATTTCCTGTGGTGAGAAAAAGACAATAGAACAAATGGACGCAATATAAACAGTTTTCATTTTCTATATTCCAGTTAATACATTACATAGTACATCTCCATTAGGAGATTAAATAAATGACTTATACATATGAACAGTTAGGTAACATACTGTTGGGGAGATCAGGATGAGGAAAACTTTATCCATTGGTTGTGGGAGTGTTAATTTATACAGTGTGGATGGAAATTGATTAGGCAAGGTCTGTCAGAGTTGTATGTGCTCATGGTCCTTGTCCAGCATTTCTCTTTCTAGGAATTAATCCTACAAATATCTCAAATTACATGCTTATAGGGTTTTTCATTATTTACAGTAACGAAAGATCAAAAACTATCTAAATGTCAATCAGTAGGGAGCTGTTTAAATAAATTTTCTTACTTCTATACAGTGCGAACAACATGCATCTATAGAAAAAAATGATGGCACTTTTTTTCTTTTATGGGGATGGAGGGACACAGGGAGAGGTAGAGAGAGGTTTTTTTGTTTGTTTTTTTAAAGATTCTATTTATTTATTTGACACAGAGAGATCACAAGTAGGCAGAGAGGCAGGCAGAGACCGATGGGAAAACAGACTCCCCACCAAGCAGAGAGCCCGATGCGGGGCTGGATCCCAGGACCCTGAGATCATGACCTGAGCTGAAGGCAGAAGCTTAACCCACTGAGCCACCTAGGCGCCCCAAGAGAGAGGTTCTTAAATAGTGCAGTGCAGAGCCCCCCATTGGGCTTGATCTAACGACATTGAGATCATGACCTGAGCCAAAATCAAGAGTTAGACACTTAACCGACTGAGCCACCAAGGGGCCCTGAGGGCACTCTTCGCTGAAGAAATTTCCCAAATATGTTGTGAAAAAAGCAAAGTGTACTCTATATAATAATGCAAATATTAAAAGGGAGCTTGGTGTAGTGTTAGAATATGTATTGTTTTGGAAAAATGTGTAAGAAACAGGCATGAGAACTAAGTGGCTAGGCCACAGGTATGGGGAAAAAGACTTTTTACTTCGTGGGTCTTATTAAATATTGAATTATATGGATGCCATATATGAATATATTGAACTGTATCAATGTAATACTCACCTTTTTAAATTCTAATTCACAGTTCTAAGAAAAGCCTTTTTTCACCATTTCTTTTGTTAGAATACAGTACAGTTACTGGTACATATCAAAACTGTGTGCAAGTGCCTGGCTCTTGCCTTATTTAGTCTATCTTTTAATGTATTCTCTTCAAAGAAAAACAATGTTTTGTTATTTGCTTCAGTGTGGTCAGGCTTACAGAGGATTGCGTTTGGGTTGTGATCACTTTGGTCAGAAGGTTGCTCTTTACCTCAGATGCAGTTTCAGCACAGAGATTCGGGAGTATAACTTGCAACATAAGGAATATGGAATGTCTGTGGACCGCACTGCGCAAGCGTGGCTTTCTGCCTCCACCCGCTGGAAAACTGTAGAGTTCATGGGGATGGGATAGAAAAAGAGGCTTTAAAAAAAAGAAATCCTGACCTCTGGTACAAGTTTAACTTGTCAGGTACTAAGTTTTGTTTGTTTTAGTCAGATGCTACTTTTTTTAAAAAAAAGATTTTACCTATTTATTTGACAGATCACAAGTAGGCAGAGAGGCAGGTGGGGGATGGGGGAACAGGGTCCCCGCTGAGCAGAGAGCCCGATGCGGGACTCGATCCCAAGATCCTGGGATCATGACCTGAGCCGAAAGCGGAGGCTTTAACCCACTGAGCCACCCGGGCGCCCCCAGGTGCTACTTTTTAATATACAAGTTTAGATGACTGGAAATCTCTAAGATTTTTCTCAAAACTTGAGAAAAATAATTGCATTTTAGAGAAGTATTATTATTAACACCTGTAATACATACTTTTTGGAAATGTGATTAGAGATCAGCTGTGTGATCCTGCATTGAGGTAGAAGACATGCTATTTGGACTTTATGACCAATTATTTTCCTGCCCACAACCAAAAATAGAAGTCATATGGAATTAGAGTTAATGATTAAACTATTGCTTATAGGCATAACTTGCCATATTTTAGTTTTTGCTTGAAGAAAGAATAGGATTAGTGGTAAGCATCCAACATTTGTCATTATTTGAGGATCGAGAATGTTTAGAAGGTGAGAAGTATTAATATAATTTATAATTAAAACTCTTAATCTGTTTCTCCAATTCTACATAACACATACTAGTGAATACCACAGTTTATTCCATATCCTCCTCCCTGGCACTTAGAAAAGCCCTGTGTAGTATATAGTATTTAATATTTGTTATGGGCGCCTGGGTGGCTCAGTTGGTTAAACAAATGCCTTCAGCTCAGGTCACAATCCTGGAGTCCCGGGATCGAGTCCTGCATCAGGCTCCCAGCTCCACGTGGAGTCTGCTTCTCCCTCTGACCTTCTCGCCTCTCATGTTCTCTCTCACTATCTCTCTCTCAAATAAATAAATAAAAATCTTAAAAAAAAAAAATCACCACTTCTCTGGTGTTAGCCTTTAATATTTGTTAGGCCATTAAATACATTTATGTATTTCAAAATTGATAATTATGAATTAGATATTTCCCATTAATAATATTTGATTAATCAGAAATGCTAATCTGCTTTCAGGATCCTAGTGTTAGCTTCTAAGATCCTAAATTAAGGGGGGAAAAAAGGCACCTCTGGCATATTGGTTATCTCTTAAAAAGCCCATGAAGTCAGTGATTGGAGAGGCTCTCTGAAGGTGTAACTTAGAATACATTTATGTATATTTTGTGTATATTTATACTTAGGGGTGATTTTCAAAATACTTAAAAACCAGTGGAGCGTGAGAAGAAATGTGATACTAATGATCAATACAGAATCCTGATATATCCCCTTATGCCCGGAATTAATCCTTTAGTTGTTAGGTCTTTGTGACACTGGCAGTCATTGGGCACATACTCTCGTGGCATGGACTGAGGCCTTTTTGCTAACTTTATGGAAATACTCAGTATTTTAACAATTCATACCAGCCTTTGTTTTAGTAAGTTTGTTTACTTTCAGTTGAATGAGGAAGATCTTCTCGTTTCCTCTGGATTCTTCATGATGTTTATTATAGTTAGTTTAAAGTTACGATCTTTTAATTCCAACGTCGGGATTGATGGAGGCTGTTTATATGGGTAGATTTTTCTTTTGACTCTGGGTCACATTTTGCTGTTTCTTCTCACAGCTAGTAATTTCTTTATCCTAGCACTGTGGATGACAATGTGGAGTTTCTGAATTCTGTTAACTTTGTCAGAAGAGTACTGAGTTTTGCCTGGTAGGCAGTTAAATTAACTGCAGGGTGACCCCAATCTTGTTCTTGTCATATCCAGTGATTCTGCTATGGAAGTAGGAGTGGAGAGAAGGAGGATATAGTTGGAGAAAACCTCGGCTGACTCCTGTAAACTGAAGATCACTGGTAAAACAGTGACTGTCCCGCTCAACTGCTTCTCTTGACATGTAGCAGATCTAAAACCTAAATTTTTTATATTATATTCACCACATGCTACATATAAATTTTACACTAAAATAATCTGAAGGGGAAAAATAAATACTTCAGAGGTGAAACTTCATAAACTTCATTGATTACAAAATACTCTGAAGTTGAAGAAAGGGAGCTGGGTAAGGGGACATCTTATTCTATTCTTTTTAATATTTTTATAGTAGAGAAGAAAACAATCAGTTCTCCAGTGTCTGAACTCCTTGGGGAATGAGTCATTGAAGTCCATTTGTAAAGGATTGAAGATTTACTGTAAGAATTAAAATATTGCAAACTTCCCCTTCCCCTGACAGTATGGATTACAATATTTCTGAAATATACTCTTCATACTTAATAGTATATAATAGCATATATTATAGGCACATCACATTTTTCATTTTTTCATTCAAGCATTTGATACTTTAATATTTTAAAGATTTTATTTCTTTGAGAGAGAGACAGTTGAGAGAGCACAAGCAGAGGGAGCAGCAGAAAGAGGGGGAGAAGCAGGCTCCCCGCTAAACTGGGAACCTGAGGCTGGCCTCCTTGGATCATGACTTGAGAGGAAAGCAGATGCTTAAACAGCTGAGCCACCTCGGCACCCCAAGCATTTGATGTTCTTGACTACTCTTCAGTCCATCTTACTCCCTTGGCTTCCTTGATAGAGCAGTTTCCACTGGTTCCCCTTTTCTTTCTCTGTGCCGGTACCTTTGCACTGTCATCCGTGGATTCCCCTTTCCTCTTTCCCTTTCTCCTTTCTGCTGCCTCCCACAAGCATTTAGTACCAAATACAACTAGCACTGCCTTAAGGGTTGGGCACATAAGAGTAAGCAAAGTGAGCATTTATTTGCGATTAGGTAAGTATGTGTTAAATCTCTGTAAACAAGTTAAGTGCTGGGATCATACTCGATAATTACCTCTCATCAACCAAGCAGATTTCTGAAAGGAGAAACTTTTTTTTCACCTCAAAATTTCAAAAATAATTTACTAATTTTAATGCAGAGCATAGAGCCTGTCATAGAGTGTGGGCTTTATAGATGCTTGTTGTGCAGATGAACGTGAGGCTCAGTGATGCTCTAGAAATACTGGGATCTAGAACTGTGGGTGCCAATAAAGTAGCCTCTAGTCAAATGAAGTTCCTTGAATTTGAAGTAGTTAAAAGTAAACAAAGTTAACCTATTGCGTGGAGCACTAGGTGTGGTGCATAAACAATGAATCTTGGAACGCTGAAAAAATATAACAGTTACATTCTTTGGTTACAGTAGTCATATTTCAGGTGTACAGCCCGCACATGGGGCTGTTAGCTACCATGTTCGATAGCACAGATACAGAGCATTTCCATCACTGCAGAAGGTTCTGTTGGCCAGGGCTAGAGGATTGCTACCTCTGCTTTTAGCTCCAGATTGTCAGCCTGTCATAAGTTGTTGTTTTGTTGTTTTTTTTTTAAGATTTTATTTATTTTATTTGACAGAAATCACAAGTAGGCAGAGAGCCAGGCAGAGAGAGAGAGGAGGAAGCAAGCTCCCTGCCGAGCAGAGAGCCCGATGTGGGGCTCGATCCCAGGACCCTGGAATCATGACCTGAGCTGAAGGCAGAGGCTTTAACCCACTGAGCCACCCAGGCGCCCCATAAGTTGTTCTTTTTATGATTTTCTTGCCTTTGTCCTTTCTTGTCAGCTTTTCATTTATCCTTCCATCTTTGAATATGCTATTTCAGTATTTCTAGTTTTTTAGAAAACTGGTTGATCAAGTTTGTGACAATGAATGCCCACAGTCTTTTATTTTTTCCAGAATTTCTGATTCTAGATCAAATTACATATAGGTGAACCTACTAGACAGCTAAATTACAGATGAATAACAGTTTTGTAAGTTTTGTAAGTTGGTTCATGATCCTCTCTCTATGAATAGGCTCCAGAGCAATTATATTCATAACTCACTGCTTTTCCAGTATGCTCGCTTAACAGGTAATTGGTTCTAAATTGCTTATTTCCCTACAGTTTGCAATCTGTGCTGGAAGATCTCCTCGTTGCTACTTCTGATGGACTGCTTCATCTTATTCACTGGGAAGGAATGACAAACGGAAGGAAGGCTATTAATCTTTGCACAGTACCTTTTTCAGTAGATCTGCAGTCATCTAGAGGTAGTTATATCTTCTGCATGGGGTAGAACCTGATGTTTAATGTTTGATATAATCTGCTTAGATATTTGCTATAGGTGAATATTGATTTTTCTACTTTGAAATTAATTATACAGGAGGAGTGTGTGTGTGTGTGTGTGTGTGTGTGTAGGAAGGAATGATTTAATAGTTTGGTGTTCTTAGATCATTATTTTTGCCCTTTTAACTGTCCTTACAGGGTTTGCAAACACAAATGTGAGAGCGTTATTTACTGTATTTATATTCATGTTTCATGTACTTGTGTTTTCATCAGCAGGTTCATTCCTGGGTTTTGCAGATGTGCACATCAGAGACATGGAATACTGTGCCACACTTGATGGGTTTGCTGTTGTGTTTAACGATGGTAAAATTGGATTTATTACACCAGTGTCAAGTAGATTTACTGCAGAGGTAAGACTTTTACTCTGGAATGTTTATTTTTTTTATTTTACATTTATTAATTTTAGTTTTGTTTTTAAGTCCCTCTCCTACTTTCCTTATTTAAGATTTTAGGGTTATTGTTAACTAATTTTTTAAGTCAAAGTAATGTATATAATACTTAAAATAATACAAGTAGAAAATTTTATTAGAAATTGAAGAAAAATGATAGTTCCCTTCGCTATTTCCCTCCCTTCACCCCCAGTTTCCATTCTCAGAGACAACCATTTTATTTTTCTTTACTGGTTATTTTATTTATCTTTACCACTCTGAGTGTTTTCTTTAATTTTTAGCTTTTAGGAGGTTTATTGACTTCCTGCTGCGGGAAAAGACCATTTGCTTCCCTGTTGCTAGCACATTCATATATTCTTCCTATCTTCCTGGTACACTTACTGTAATTTTGATCAATTACTATTCATTATTTATATTATTGCTTTATAAATCCTGAGCCATGTGATACGTTTTGATTATTTTTTCTTTCCTGCACATTTCCCTTCCCACTGGGAATTAATAATTGTTTGTTCTTTGTTTATTTTTTATGTACTTACCACTAACTCAACCTCAAATTGTCTGTGGTTTGTGTAGATTTCTCAATTCTTTCAGATACATTAGGCGTTCTCTTTGTTTCATCTTCTTGAAGAAATTTCTTTTGGAAGCTTCTGGATTGCTCCAGACTGGACTGCTTGCTCACTGTACCTTTAACATAGTTGTACTTTTAGGTTTTCATCATCTATCACTTGAGGATTTGCTTCTGTCCTTTAGTTGTATTTGATCTTTTCATAGTTAATGATTAATATATGATAAGTTAATATATTAATTTGGTTGCTGTGACAGAGACCCAAAGTAAACATTTGGATTCACTGAAAGCTGTGTGGATTTTGATGGGTTTGGTTGACGCTGTTCTTCACCATAGGGTGAGCTAACTGGATTGTTTCCTTTCCTCCCCTATGTCCAGTGCTCATTGGAAGAGAGTCCTGTAGGTTTTGTTTGTTTGTTTGTTTTTATTTTTTATAAACATATATTTTTATCCGCAGGGGTACAGGTCTGTGAATCGCCAGGTTTACACACTTCACAGCACTCACCATAGCACATACTCTCCCCAATGTCCATAACCCCACCCGCCTCTCCCAACCCTCCTCCCCCCTATCAGCCCTCAGTTTTTTTTATGAGATTAAGAGTCACTTATGGTTTGTTTCCCTCCCAATCCCATCTTGTTTCATTTACTCTTCTCCTACCCCTTAACCCCCCATGTTGCATCTCCTCTCCCTCATATCAGGGAGATCATATGATAGTTGTCTTTCTCCGATTGACTTATTTCGTTAAGCATGATACCCTCTAGTTCCATCCGCGTCGTCGCAAATGGCAAGATTTCATTTCTTTTGATGGCTGCATAATATTCCATTGTGTATATATACCACATTTTCTTTTTCATTCATCTGTTGATGGACATCTAGGTTCTTTCCGTAGTTTGGCTATTGTAGACATTGCTGCTATAAACATTCGGGTGCACGTGCCCCTTCGGATCACTACGTTTGTATCTTTAGGGTAAATACCCAGTAGTGCAATTGCTGGGTCATAGGGTAGTTCTATTTTCAGCATTTTGAGGAACCTCCATGCTGTTTTGCAGAGTGGTTGCACCAGCTTGCATTCCCACCAACAGTGTAGGAGGGTTCCCCTTTCTCCGCATCCTCGCCAGCATCTGTCATTTCCTGACTTGTTAATTTTAGCCATTCTGACTGGTGTGAGGTGATATCTCATTGTGGTTTTGATTTGTATTTCCCTGATGCCGAGTGATATGGAGCACTTTTTCATGTGTCTGTTGGCCATCTGGATGTCTCCTTTGCAGAAATGTCTGTTCATGTCTTCTGCCCATTTCTTGATTGGATTATTTGTTCTTTGGGTGTTGAGTTTGCTAAGTTCTTTATAGATTTTGGACACTAGCCCTTTATCTGATATGTCGTTTGCAAATATCTTCTCCCATTCTGTCAGTTGTCTTTTGGTTTTGTGAACTGTTTCCTTTGCTGTGCAAAAGCTTTTGATCTTGATAAAATCCCAATAGTTCATTTTTGCCCTTGCTTCCCTTGCCTTTGGCAATGTTCCTAGGAAGATGTTGCTGCGGCTGAGGTCGAAGAGGTTGCTGCCTGTGTTCTCCTCAAGGATGTTGATGGATTCCTTTCTCACATTGAGGTCCTTCATCCATTTTGAGTCTATTTTCATGTGTGGTGTAAGGAAATGATCCAATTTCATTTTTCTGCATGTGGCTGTCCAATTTTCCCAACACCATTTATTGAAGAGGCTCTCTTTTTTCCATTGGACATTCTTTCCTGCTTTGTCAAAGATTAGTTGACCATAGAGTTGAGGGTCTATTTCTGGGCTCTCTATTCTGTTCCATTGATCTATGTGTCTGTTTTTGTGCCAGTACCATGCTGTCTTGATGACGACAGCTTTGTAATAGAGCTTGAAGTCCGGAATTGTGATGCCATCAACTTTGGCTATTCGAGGTCTTTTCTGGTTCCATATAAATTTTAGGATTATTTGTTCCATTTCTTTGAAAAAAATGGATGGTACTTTCATTGGAATTGCATTAAATGTGTAGATTACTTTAGGTAGCATAGACATTTTCACAATATTTATTCTTCCAATCCAGGAGCATGGAACATTTTTCCATTTCTTTGTGTCTTCCTCAATTTCTTTCATGAGTACTTTATAGTTTTCTGTGTATAGATTCTTAGCCTCTTTGGTTAGGTTTATTCCTAGGTATCTTATAGTTTTGGGTGCAATTGTAAATGGGATTGACTCCTTAATTTCTCTTTCTTCTGTCTTGTTGTTGGTGTAGAGAAATGCAACTGATTTCTGTGCATTGATTTTATATCCTGACACTTTACTGAATTCCTGTACAAGTTCTAGCAGTTTTGGAGTGGAGCCTTTTGGGTTTTCCACATATAGTATCATATCATCTGCGAAGAGTGATAGTTTGACTTCTTTGCCGATTTGGATGCCTTTAATTTCCTTTTGTTGTCTGATGGCTGAGGTTAGGACTTCCAGTACTGTGTTGAATAGCAGTGGTGATAATGGACATCCCTGCCGTGTTCCTGACCTTAGCGCAAAAGCTTTTAGTTTTTCTCCATTGAGAATGATATTTGCGGTGGGTTTTTCATAAATGGCTTTGATAATATTGAGGTATGTGCCCCCTATCCCTACACTTTGAAGAGTTTTGATCAGGAAGGGATGCTGTATTTTGTCAAATGCTTTTTCAGCATCTATTGAGAGTATCATATGGTTCTTGTTCTTTCTTTTATTAATGTGTTGTATCACATTGATTGATTTGCGGATGTTGAACCAACCTTGCAGCCCTGGAATAAATCCCACTTGGTCATGATGAATAATCTTTTTAATGTACTGTTGAATCCTATTGGCTAGTATTTTGGTGAGAATTTGTGCATCTGTGTTCATCAAGGATATTGATCTGTAGTTCTCTTTTTTGATGGGATCCTTGTCTGGTTTTGGAATCAAGGTGATGCTGGCCTCATAAAATGAGTTTGGAAGTTTTCCTTCCATTTCTATTTTTTGGAACAGTTTCAAGAGAATAGGAATTAGTTCTTCTTTAAATGTTTGGTAGAATTCCCCCAGGAAGCCGTCTGGCCCTGGGCTTTTGTTTGTTTGGAGATTTTTGATGACTGTTTCAATCTCCTTACTGGTTATGGGTCTGTTCAGGCTTTCTATTTCTTCCTGGTTCAGTTGTGGTAGTTTGTATGTCTCTAGGAATGCATCCATTTCTTCAGATTGTCAAATTTGTTGGTGTAGAGTTGCTCATAGTATGTTCTTAAAATTGTCTGTATTTCTTTGGTGTTAGTTGTGATCTCTCCTCTTTCATTCATGATTTTATTTATTTGGGTCCTTTCTCTTTTCTTTTTGATAAGTCTGGCCACGGGTTTATCAATCTTAGTAATTCTTTCAAAGAACCAGCTCCTAGTTTCGTTGATTTGTTCTATTGTTTTTTTGGTTTCTATTTCTTTGATTTCTGCTCTGATCTTTATGATTTCTCTTCTCCTGCTGGGTTTAGGGTTTCTTTCTTGTTCTTTCTCCAGCTCCTTTAAGTGTAGGGTTAGGTTGTGTACCTGAGACCTTTCTTGTTTCTTGAGAAAGGCTTGTACCGCTATATATTTTCTTCTCAGGACTGTCTTTGTTGTGTCCCACAGATTTTGAACCATTGTGTTTTCATTGTCATTTGTTTCCATGAATTTTTTCATTTCTTCTTTAATTTCCTGGTTGACCCATTCATTCTTTAGAAGGATGCTGTTTAGTCTCCATGTATTTGGGTTCTTTCCAAATTTCCTCTTGTGATTGAGTTCTAGCTTCAGAGCATTGTGGTCTGAAAATATGCAGGGAATGATCCCAATCTTTCAATACCGGTTGAGACCTGATTTAGGACCGAGGATGTGATCTATTCTGGATGAATGTTCCATATGCACTAGAGAAGAATGTGTATTCTGTTGCTTTGGGATGAAATGTTCTGAATATATCTGTGTTGTCCATCTGGTCCAGTGTGTCATTTAAGGCCTTTATTTCCTTGTTGATCTTTTGCTTGGGTGATCTGTCCATTTCAGTGAGGGGAGTGTTAAAGTCCCCTACTATTATTGTATTATTATTGATGTGTTTCTTTGATTTTGTTATTAATTGGTTTATATAGTTGGCTGCTCCCACATTAGGGGCATAGATATTTAAAACTGTTAGATCTTCTTGTTGGACAGATCCTTTGAGTATGATATAGTGTCCTTCCTCATCTCTTATTATAGTCTTTGGCTTAAAATCTAATTGATCTGATATAAGCATTGCCACTCCTGCTTTCTTCTGATGTCCATTAGCGTGGTAAATTCTTTTCCACCCCCTCACTTTAAATCTGGAGGTGTCTTCGGGTTTAAAATGAGTTTCTTGTAGGCAACATATAGATGGGTTTTGTTTTTTTATCCATT